GCATGCTAGTCAAGGTTATGTTGAATCTAGATGTTCCCTTCAGATAACAGATACCCCGACAACACCCTCACACCCACATACACATCACCCTCGCAACAGAATGACAGAGTAACAAGATAGTTCAGGGAAGCTGGAAAGATAAGTAAACTTGACAGAGAAGGGGAGAGTGGGTGAGTGAGACAGACAACCAGACTGGAGCAGAGAGAGAAAGATCTCCAGCAGTGCCAGCCGAAAGAGGATCAAGGTGGTTTTGGATGAGTTTCAGAGGTAAGCTGCAGTTAAAGCCCCTAGCTTGGACCGTTCACACGCAAATGCCAAGCCCCACCGCACACATCATGAAACACGAGACAACATTCAGGTGTTTGGTGACAAGACTGAGGACAGCATCCACTGTTTGGGGATCGTTTCAAATGCAAATCATATGCAGTATCCTTCCATCCTGTGAAGGAAATACTCACATGTTGCACTTAACGTCTTTCCATCTAGTTGATACTAAAACTACGAATAACTCATGTGCATGTTAACAGATGATTTCTAATGGGTTGCTTGAGGTGACAAAATGTTCCTATATTAAAGTATTTGTTATACATATCAAGAGACATGATATTGTTTGCGCTGGTTATGCTTAAAGGTTAAGAATTTTATTTATTTATTTAAGTCCTGAATTTTATGTGAATGAATAATGGATTAAAAAATCCATTTGAAGACTGGATTTGGATACATTCACTAACACTATACTAGAAGCATTTTCTGTCACCATTGCAAGAAGATCTACTGTAAACTGCAGTGAAAATGTTGTCTTGCAACAGGAAATATATTAACCTTAAATATCAAATATTTTTTGATAAAAATGTATATAAACAGGTGAGACTTAAAGCTGCTGTAATCAATATTTTTGTACAATCATTTGACTTGTGTAATGTGAAAAGTGTTGCTCGTAATGATGAACCCAAAGATAACTCTAGGCAGCATTTTACCGTATTTCAGCTAATTGTTTTGCTTCACTGTCACTACTCTCAACACACTCGTTCCAAGCAGCAACAGGCAGCTGTTTTCAGTGGGAACAGTGACAGGGGGGTCACACAATACACAAGCTGACAACGTCTCTGTCACATGACGGCTGGTCTCCAAACAGAGAGAGTTGGACGTTAGTAAAAAAATGTTTTTTAGTGAAAAAGTAGCTGTCTGCTCTCATTGGCTGAATGTGGATGTTGAGTCTGCTGACGGCTCCAGATATTCAGATAGTCTGGCGTCGCATTTGTTTGTGAGTAGATTGGCGAACACCGATGGATTGCTGATTTGTTTGCGGCAGTTGGCGAGCTCAGCAACTTGGAAATCCGGCTTAAAACAGTTTACAGCTTTTTGCGTTGCATCCAAGTTGTCAAAAAAAAAATGTGTGTTTCAGGTTTATGTACTATGTAATAAAGCTATTTTAATAACACATCAGAATTGAATCACTTCATTCAGTCATTTTAGTGCTATCCAAGTTTGTATAATTTAACAAAGCAGTATCAGATTCCTGGACTTTGTTTATCCTTTGAATTACTGATTGCATTAGGAGGTAGTGTAACCTCAATGATATTTGGAACAAAAGAATACTCAGATTTCCTGCATGTAGAGCGTCGCACAATGAGTACATGCTAATAGGTGTAAGGATGACAACTTGGTGTATTGTTCTTTGATGTCCTTGTGACTTCAGATGAGTTAACAGACATTGATTTGAATCCTCAGTTCCTCTAACCTAAATATTTAACATGGCGACAGCCTCCTAATCACTGCCAGCCTGAAATCAGGCCGTTTGACCTGTCTCCTCTCTGTTACTCACCCTTCAGTCATTACAGGAAATGAAAGTGAACAATCCAACTAGCTCCTCTCACTCTCACTTTTCTCTCTGTTCAAGCCCTCTCTCTGGCACCGGGTGCCAATGTTTATGCATTTACTGAGATTGCTGGCGGGATTGTCAGAGAAAAAGGAGGGTTTATTTTTTTTTCCTTTCTCTCTTTCTTTTTTTTTCCTGTGCAATCTCTTGCCTTCAGAAACCATTAATGCCCATTCAACATCAACATCAAGGCACAGCTTTGATGTCTATTCTGGCAACAGACCTCTTTCTTTCTCTGTTGCCTGCTGCTCTCTCTCTGTCTCTCCCCTTCCCTCTATCTCCCTTTATCCCTTCCTCTTCCTTCCTTTCGCTCGCTCTTTACGGTTACTGTACAATCAAATAATTAAACGGATTGTCGACAAAATGATTTTACCTGGCAATTAAATATGCAAAGCGAGTCGGCAAGCGTTGTATGAGAAGGCGATTAAAAAGGGGCCCACTGCAAATCTACAAAGGCTTCCCCAGCACAATAGGCAGCAGCCCCTGCCTGCCTCGCACACTAGCTTAGCCTGGGGAGTGACTGGTGCCTCTTTATACCAGTCTCACACAGCCATGTTTACAATAGCCCCAACCATGCTATGCCAATTACCACAATGCAAGGAGAAATGAATGCCAGTGTTTGGAGAAAAAAGATGGGGATGAAGGTAGTGGCGTATGAGACATATGGGGTGTACAGGGTGGCAGGAAAGAAAAGCATATGCTGCCAATGAAATCAAAGTTACACCACAGAAACAGTCACCATTGATGAAAAGACACAGTGAGCGAACAATGTGCTTCAAATTTAAGTAATTGAAGAATTGAAGAAGAAATTGAAGTTTAAGGAGTCAAAAGTAAAGTTTCAGTGAAAGCAGGACCTTCAGAACCTGTGTGTAACTTGCATTGCACTTCAACAATGCACCTATTGGGACTGGAATGCCACAGAAAGGCTGAGAGAAGACACCAGGGAGGGGGAGTCTGAGGTCCTGATGTGCAAGAGAGGGAATGCGACAGTCAATGTCCATCTATCAACGCTTCGGTGGCGAAAATGCAAGCAATTTTCCTGGATAGGTTTCCCTTCAAAGCCGGTGCCCCAAGAGGCTGTAAAAATAGAGTTGGGGAGAGGCAGGGAGGGTGGGGGTATAAGGGTGGAGGGTTACACCTGCCCCGTTCCAGACAGTTCAACAGAAACTAGCTGGTTCAGCCTGATTAAACACTCCTCATTGTAAAGTTGAAGCCATGGAGGAATTGATTTTAGGGTTTGGAGAGTATGTAATGGATTGATTGTGTGTTGAAGTTTCAGTGCACTGTGCCTTTGATAAAAAAGAGTCTCGGAAATTAATCTGATTTTTCTGAAAAATACAAACTGTTCCGATATTTTAAGGAAAAAGAGAGTGTGTAGATGCTTTAAGAAAGACAAAAACCTACAGTATCTCATAGATGTGACAAGCATTGGCGGCTTGTCTGCTTTTCTCCCTTTTATTTTGCCATATTGCCAGGAACAGCTACCAGGGGAGAAAGAAATGAGAAAATCATTTTGTGGGAAGTGAAAGCTTGTCATTAATGACTGTTGTTCTTTTCTTGTATCTTTGTTACTTGGCTACCACTGTTTTTTGCCAATTGCAAGTATCGTTTTATGTCAACAATTTGAATTGAGCTGTACAAGTGAGTGAGTCTGCACAGACAGCACCCGCTCCCCGCCAATTAATTATTTTCTTATATTAAACCATTTTTCCCCCCACTGCTAAAATAAAACCAGATAATTGAACCAAACATGGTTGGGCCCTCTGACAGGGGATGCAGGGTGCTTCATTAATGTTTGTGTTGACTGTCGGAGAGTAGCGCTGGTCCTCATTGCTCTTTAATAAGACCAATTAGCCCATGCCCCCATTTCCATGCTTAATGTACCTCATTTAAGTGCTGAATACAGAACGTGCACATTTAACCACTGAGGGGCCATAACACATCAAGAGGTTACAGGCTTTAGTGATTCCTGTTTACCAAATGAATTAACAGGTTGCATTCATGAATTTAAAGTTCAATTATTTTTTTTCAACAATGAGAAATGTTTTACAGGTCCAGCTGTTCAATTCACTTCTCCAACTTCAACCTACAATATGTGTTCACAGCGCTACGCTGTCTCTTTAATGGAGACGACTGTAACAACATTTTATGTTCATTACTGAGAGAGACATGAAGGTTATACAGAAGGCAGGTAACTGTCAAGAATAATTCCTGCGAGTATTTTAACCACAGGTTTCATATACTTGTCCTACTTAGCAAATTCTTTCATTTTCAGTGTATTTTCTTTAGTTTTAACATTATATTTACTTACATCGCTTTTTCAGCATTCCTGAAATATTAGCAGGCCCCAAGCCTGATTTTTTCAAAGATTATTTTTCGGGCTTTATGAAAACAACCTTTCTAAAATACAAGTGGCCAAAACACTCTAGTCCACTCTTGTCACCTCTTAATCAGGAACAAAATGCGGGAATGTTTGCTGTGAAATATGAACTGGTTGTCATATAAAAAGTTACCATGCTCACATTAGTGGTGCAGTGAAAGTACGTGAACATGGACATTGTGGATTATTGTGGACAATCATGAAATAAGCAATTCCAGGCACAACAGCTTTCATTTGAAAAATATAAAACTTTAATAAAGGCTACATCTCTCAATAATTACAATAATTATAGGTCCATGTAAATCTTTAAATGAAACTCTTTATATAATGTATAATTTACAGTTTAGATAGAATGAAACAAAACAAAACAAAAGGCCGTGGTGTAAAAACAAAACATGATTACAGGATATTATTAAAAGCATAAAAATATCTTTTCAACATAAAACCCTTCTGAAAACCAAGGGATATATATTAAAACCCTGAAACAGGGTAGCACATGGTATGGCATCCATGTAGGCACAGGTGCTGTACTCATTAAACACCAGCGATAGTGTGTGTGTGTGTGTGTGTGTGTGTGTGTGTGTGTGTGTGTGTATACTTTATGTGTGCATCACATGTGTCAGTATCCATACTTCAGAATGCATAATTACAATGTATACAGGAGCTCTGCTATATACGATGTTACTGTAACAACATTCAAAGGATATCGGAGCCATAATTCTTCAAAGTTCACTTTTTTTCTTTTTTGACAAGCTAGCTTCCCCGAGAAGTCGTTCTCAGTGACCCAAACCGGTTCTTGTTAGCACAAGTTATTTTGGTGTGTGGGCTGTAAACACTGCCATTATTAGATGGTACAACTTGTGCTTCAGGTCTCCTCTCTGTATGTATGTGTACCCCATCCCCCCACCCCACCCCCGTGCAATGCCTGGTTTACAAACAAAGGCACAACAAAAAAAGATTGAGCTCTGTTGCCGGACTGAGAGAAAAGAAGAGGAAGGGGGAGAACGAGGGAGAGGAAATACTAGTGTGACAAACTATCAGCAGCATATAAGACTGGGATTGACCATTAGGATAGTGGAGGGCGCCTCGGACAAGACCACTGCTAAGGTTGTTAGTATGGGTCAGACGGGGCTACAAGGCTATGGGAGGTGCTAGGCTAGTGTCACGTTCTTTGTGTAAAGTCAAAACAAACAAAAATAAACATGAAACAATCTCACCACAGTATTCTCCCAACATTCAAAGCAGCTTGCCCATTGGCTGGAAATAGGGAGGGGGAGGGACACAGGTTTAAGAAGAATTAGGAAGGGAGAACAGGGAAAGGAGTGGGTTGTTTTTTCAATAAATACTTAGTAAAAACTTTCAACTCATGACAAAAAGCATCTCTATATATAATACATGTATATATACATATACTGTATGCATGTATGTATATGCACATGTACAGACGTTTTTGTAACAATGTTGGGGTGGAACGTTAAGAGCAGGTTGGTGGCACTGTGTCTTCAGCGCCTGCTAGTCCGTTGCACGCAGCCAGGAAGCCGGTGTGAACGCACCATCAGTCTCTCATTACATCACAACAAAACAGTCATCTACATCTTCAGTGGTTATATTCAAGAAGAGGCGGGGTCTCCCCCCCACTGGCCTCCAATCATCATCATCATCATCATCATCATCATCATCATCATCATCATCATCATCATCCTTGTATTGGTCTTTTAAAGTCTCTAATGTCATTCCCTTGTGTTTCTAAGGCTGATTGGTTGATAAAGTCAGGGAGGGGCGGCACCTCCTCTGGGTTCCGCGTACTTCATTGGCTCGTCTTCCTTCAATCACTCCTCTTGTGCTGGATATATTAACTCTGTTTAGCTTAATATTAAGAAATATAAAAAAACAAAACAATAAAAACAGTCCAGAGTGTTTTCTGTTAATTACAAAGAGTCTCTTGCTCAAGTTTTTTAGGGACAGTTTAGCTTTTGGTTGGGCAGGGAAGGGCATCGGTTGGTTGGCAACAAAATGGTTTTTAGTCCATCCTCTCCACCTTGCCCAGGACCTTGCCCTCATACATGGGCAACACAGTGGCGTCCTCCCACACCTCCTCAAACACGGCACCACACTCAAACTCATCACTGGCTTTCTTGAAGTAGTACCTGAGGAGGACAAACAAAGCGACAGTCTGTGATTAGAAAATGCTGAGCGTAGGTGTACGTGAATAAAACAAAAAGACTGAACTCAAACGAAAACTGACAGAGTGGCAGCAGGAGTGCATCTGATACATTTCATCGTGTTTTAAACCGCTTTGAGGCACCTACACGACTACTTCCATATACAGGCTCGCGCACAACTCCCTTTAGTCCAAATCAAACACAAACACACACACTCTGAGAGCCAGAAATGGATCCTGCTCAAAACAACTTAGTCATAGCCTTCAATGCCATCCCTGCACACTTCAAAGGCAGAGCCTGACTCCACATCACACTGCTGCACAAACAGAGCTGAACCCTCCGTTTAAACACTCCCTGTGATAATTCAAGCTGCTAGAAACAGCCCGCTTTTGTGTGTGTGTGTGTGTGTGTGTGTGTGTGTTCATCCATGTGTGCTTGTCTCCTCGTCCACTTGTTCATCTTGACTGCTGGCCATTCTACAGATGCCTATCTGTCCTGCAAGGTCTTATTAAAGTTGAAGGGTTAATTAGAGGCTGTCTTAAGGCACCCACTCCTCTCTCTCTTCAGCAGCGCCCCCCTCCGTCTCGGTGTCTCCGTGGCTTCTAATTGTGCTGGCTGTCAAATGAAGGGCCTTTCTGTCACACAGGTTGACATTTCAGGTGCCTGAGAGTCTGCCTGTGACTGCAAGAGCACACTCCACTTGCCCATAAACACGCACATGCCCTATGTTTCTTTCTTACTTGCTGTCAGAGACACCCACAACATACACACACACTTCGGGAAGCTTTCCGATCACCAGCGGAGAACAGAGGATTTGGGGGGGGGGGCAGGTCTACCCTGCTCGGTGAGTGGGTGTGATAGGTCGGATGCAAGCCGAGCCTGAGGGGCTTTACCCTGGGAGGGGGGAGGGTGGTGACCGCTCAGACGGTCTCCTGGAGGTCACAGGTCGCCTAGCTAGCCCACTCTTCTTCTTCTCTCAAGCAGAGATAACTCCCAGGGTTAGCTTGGTCCCAGTGACTGTGAAGTCTCCTGGAGCTCCTAATGATTTCTCCTCTCTACTTTAAACCCAGCAAAAGATCAGCGGGAGGGGATTTAATGATAAGCTTTGTAATGGAAAAATGCCTCATTTTGCCCATGTGAGCCTGCGTTCAGAATACCAAAAAGAAGGAAAAGGGTGGGGGGGAGCGCTGTGTTTTATGAGCAATTGCTCAGTTTACAGTCATTCAAACAACACATGTAAGAAGGGGCGTAAAAAACATACACATACAGTTTTACTTTCCATGTTGATTGTAATTACACGCAAACGAAGGAGGACATTATGTTACCACAGCTGCAAGACGTTCTACTCAAGTGTGCAGGGATGTGACGGGGGGGGGGGGGGCTTTGTTTAATGATATGGCATTTCAGCAGAGTTTCCTTCTGTTTTCTGAGCTTTCCTGAGCAGGATTTAGCCTTTTCATCATCATTAGTAGAAACCAAATAAATGCATTACCCTTCTAAATTTAATTGGCTGGATTTATTTTTTTTTTTCAGAAGAAAATGCTATATTTTCACTCACAAATAGTTCAAAGTCGTCACTTTGTTTCAGAGAGACAGAAGGAGTCTTTCCATTGGAACATGTTTTATGTGGCAGGATTTTTCTCTCTTCGCAACATCTGGCACCAATATCGTCTGGCAGAGCCACGGCGTACTGTTCTCCACTGTACCGCTGCCATGTCCAAATTAACCAACTCCACACATTCTGCTGCCATTGAAGCCAGACGCTTCATCCCCACCTCCCCCTTCTCTTTCGCTCGCTGAAGAGTTATGGGATAGCAGGGGTGCAGTGACTTGTTTGCAGGCCTTCTTCTCTCTTGCCTAACAAGCAGATGTGGCAGTAACCTAATGTTGATGTCATGGGCATGCAGACCTCTTTTTTTGCGGCATAAAACCTACGCAGTACAATTACTTGAAAAAGCAAGCCTGGACATCCTGATTTAAATGTCTTCAAATTGATCAGCCATTATATTTTTAAAATACTTCATACATTATTTAAGAATTCCCCCTCTTCATCTGACTTTGACAGGAGGTATTCTTGCTGTGTTAACTGCTATCAGTCATCAACAGAAGAAGGTGCTTGCGGCACTTGATTTGAATGCCTGACGCAATAGCGTGGAGGAGGAATTTGAAGTCCCCGCAATGGTCTTTGTGCGCAACATAAAATGTCCCAGGCTTCAAAGCCATATTTATTAAGGCTGCCTTACCATGGAAATCAGTACCAGATGTGAGAAAAAATTCGCTCCAGAACCCCCTCCTCTCCCCTCTCTCTGTAAGCCCTGAATACAGTGGATCAGCCCAGTTTCTTTTCAACTATCTGGCTCTAGTGTTTCACACTCCCACACAGCAGGCAAGCATATACAAGTACAACAACAAATGCAAATACATCCACAGATAACTAACCCTGCTACAGCACCAACCCCATCCAAACAGGTGTGAATAAACACCAATAAGAGTATTTGCAAGTGTACTGTGATCTGTGTGCTGTTGTCAGTGGTTCATATTTACCGGTAGTTGCCTTTCTTGCTAAGCTGTTCCTTGAAGTGTCCCAGGGTGAGGCAGTGGGTCTTCATCATGCTGCGATAAGGAATCTCCTCACCGCAGAAGAAGTAGGTGACCACCAGCTCCTTTGACCTGAAAATGCAAAATAAAACTGGTTTTAAACAGCTGCACTTGTAGGAGAAGGGGTGAGATTGTTGAATGTAGACAAAGAATCTTTGGGGTATTGTATATTAAGTATGCCAACAGCTGGCTCACAGAGGGTCAACCAATTAAAACTAAAAGAGGCCTCACAGTCAGGTGGCTGTAGCTTAACATCAAACACCCAACCCATTCAACAACAAATGCATGAAGGGGGCAGATAAATTTGAGTTACCAGGGGCTACTTAACACATCTTTGTTGGGTTCCAGTGGTGAGTGTGTGAGACGGGTGGGTAGTTAGGATTCCGTATTAAAGCATGTTTAATCTTAAATGATTAAAAAGCGAGAGAAGAGGAGTTCAAAGACATAGCTATGCTGACTCACAACATCTCTCTTTGAAGGCAAGAGTGAAAAATCTGTGAGGAAGAGGGTGAAAATGCAGGCTTGGAGAGAAGGGAATGCTTGAAAAAGTGTTGAAGTGTATGAGAAATGAAATGTGGAAAGCAACTGAGAAAGAAATTAAGAAAAACTGAGCTATAGAAACAAAGACAGGATTGTGTCATGGATTCAGACAGAGAACAGTAAAAGAAGAGATCCGTACTCGTCTGCTTGGAGTCCAGGGCTGGCTAGAGGGCTGCCTCCCGTGGGGAAGGTAGCTGCTGGATGGCTCCTGTCTCTCTGAAGGCTGCTGGCTGCTGTTGAATGCCTGTCAAAATCACAGAGATCAATAATTAATTAATACTCACACCAATATGAAGAGAAAGCACTGGACACCATTTACAGTGTATTGTGATGTGGTCAATCAAATGTGGAAGATTGGTAATATGGGTTATTTGCAGTTTTGCTTATGTATCCATGTTTGCCTACCTCTGTTTCGGCGGTTTGGAAACCTCTTCTAGTCTGCGGCAGGCCTCCTCTAGCTGTGCCAGGGTATTGGGCGGGGGCATGGGTGGCATGGCCGGGTCCTGGATGAATGGGTGGCCTGGGTGGTGGCCACGGAGGTGAGCCCCACTGCCAATGCCGCCTCCACCCCAAGATGAATGAGTCCGGCTGGGAAGAGTCTTGGCGTCAAGTGGGTTGGACTTCTTTAGGCCTTGAGTGCTGTTAGGATATATAATATATAACATGAGCTGGGAACTCCAGACGCAAGAGGTCGGTGAGACTGCGGATGTTGTTGCGATTCGTGACAGAAACTTACCTGTGTGGCTTGTGCTTGCCCTGCCTCTCACTCTCTAGAATCCACTGCCAAACATTCTGAGAGCGGTCGGTGGCATCTAGGGGAAGACGTGGTGAAGACACGCCCTCATCAGTGGCCTTGACTGGCCGTCTGGACAAAGTGCTGCAGCGACTGGAGGAAGGAGAATGGGCAAGTTATGACCAGGATGGAGCACTGGGAAATTTGAAGGAATCAGAATACTAAGGGCTAATGTATAACACTGACTGATGACTGGTTTTAACACAGCTCAGAAGTTACACTTACGCAGGGGTAAAGTCAGAATAATTGGCGCCTCCTGGAGGGCAGAGGCACTGCACGCGCTGAGCCGCCTCGGCCTCGATCTGCTCCTTGGTCTTGGGTCCAGCATGGTGATGGTGGATGTAATGGTGGTGGATGTGCTTTGTGGACTGCCTGCCTGTCATCAGAACCTTGGCGGCCCCAGGATAAGCACCAAAGAAGGGCCCGTGGCCACAGGACACCAATTCACCTGTCCGATCTGGGGAGCTTGAGCGCGGTGAGTGCCGAACCACACCTGGTGACTGGCAGCCAGGTGTCTTCAGGACACGGGATAGGTGCTCGTCCAGGATAGCTTGGGGGTCTTCCTCGCATTGGCTGCCAGACGGGAGTAGAGGGTGATGGAGGGAAGTGCTGTTGGCGAGGTCGCCACTTTCCTCCCTTTCCTCCTCCTGGACAGACAAAGAAAAACAACATACGGCAATTGAAAAAACATTCACACAGTCACGTGGAAAGGCAGCGAGCAGAGGAATTCATGTCTCAACTTACACCAACTTATATCTATCATCCTCTGTAGTCAGTGAGAGCAAACGCCTGGATAACTTGATTTGAGTTTCCTTTTTGCCACACTGTTATCTTCGCTAACAGGCTTTGGGTGCACTTCATCTATAATGCAGAGTGTGCCTGTGCTTCACAAAGAGACTGGCACTACACATATTCAGCAAACGTGCCACTGGAGAGTAGCTAAGTGCTAACTATTTGAAGAAACTTCAAGTGTGCCTAGAAACATAAGTCTGAAAGTTCCTCCATATTGGAAGTAGTGGCGGACAAAGAGGAAAAGTAGTAGCTAAACCAAGACATACTTTCAAATCCCTTGGTCTTTTCCCTGTTCTTCGACATGCTAAAACTGGCATAAAGGCTTTTGTATAGCAATACCGAGTTAATGTGATACAAGTTAGAATTTCAAGTGGCGGTCATGCAAGATGTTGGTGGAATAGTAGGAACAGGTTTGTGTGCGTCTGTACCTCCTGGATCTGCTGCAGCCTCTCCTCCAATGAGCTCATTGTATCCTGCTCTCGTTTCAGCTTCTCCAGCCGGGCGATGAGTTGGGCAGCAAAGGCTGAGGGCTCAACAGGGGTCATCTCCTTAGGTAGCCGGTGTGTCCTCTGCAGGATAAACAACACAGGGGGAAGGACACTTCAATGTGTGTGCAAGTGTAACTGTGTAGTGTTTCGGATGGATGCAATATGTTGCATTAATCCACTGCCCTTGCCCTAATCCTATCTTGTTCCAAAAAGCCTGCTACTATTCCAAAAGGCCTAATCCAGATGCCCTTGCCCTCGAGCTAACCTGAACCTTCTCCGCCGCCCATCCCTCCTCAGATCTTCTCATGCCCAGTGCCCTTGGCAGTGCCAGGCTGCTGGGCGAGGGGGAGAGAAGGGGGTAGCGATGGCGGGGTAGCAGTTGGTCTCGCTCGGAGGGGAGGCCCCCTGCCTGCACCCTCTGTAGCCCGACCAAGCCATCAGCTAGGCAGCCTCTGAAGTCAGCACACTTCAAAGGGCCCTTGTCAAACATCAAACGCACACTAGGGGTGGGAGGGACACGCAGCTTTAAATCTCCGAATAAAAGCCAGATATCGACAGAGAAGAGAGTGAGGAGAGGAGAGGGGAAGAAAAAAGGGAGAGGGGGACAAAATTAACAGCATGAAAAAGGAGGAAGAGGATTGAGATGTGCGTTAGTGAAGTGGCAATGGTGGCAGAGAGAGAGCAAGACAGAGAAGGAGGGAAAAGAGGGAGGGAGAGGATAGAGGAGTCAAATACTGGGAAGATCTGAGGGGAAGTAGTAATTTATTTCCCGGCTGCATGCAGGGCAGCTCAGAGGTACTCTAGTCACATTATCCTCCTTTTTCTTTAACTATATGCGCCGGCTTCTCTCTCTCCCTTTCTTACTTTTTTGTTATTTGGCACACTGGCTTTCTTGATTTTGACTCTTTTTTTGTTGTTCCTCTCATCTCTTTGTAGACACGATGAAGGGAGGAAGAAGAAAGGAAAGCAGAGCTGCTGGCAAAGGAGCGCCAGCCCTGCACGGGGCCCCCGCTGCCTGGGGCTGGTGCATCATGGGAGACAGAGCCATCTCCAAATCAGGAGGGAGACATTAAAGGAGTGCAAGTGGGAAAGGAAAAGAGAGAGATTGAGAGAGAGAAAAGACAGAGGAAGAGAGAAAAAAGGGGGAACAGAACACTGTCAAATGCATGCATGCACAAACACACTCACTCACACACACAACTCTTCCACATACACATACCTGTGTTTGGATATGAAGACAAAAGAATTTCACATCTATTATTTCTTTTCTTGCCTCAAACAGACTCACCTCCTAACCTGTGTCAATCTGTTCTGACCCACTTCCTTCAACCTTCCTACAACAACTTCAGCAGGTCAACAAAATCTTGAATCCAAAGCACATACATGTATGACCCAAATACTAATGGGAACTGATATTAGGGTGGGAGTAGTGGAAAGGGGAATTGAATAGCGATGTGCCTCCTATTCATCTACTGGGATGTAAACTGTAGTTTTGGTAACCACTTCAAAGAGTAACCTTAATTTTGAATTTAATCATTACCTTTAACACTGTTGGGATGTCTATTATCCATGCTATAATCACAGCTATCATTGATGCATAACACATATTAAGCTGTGACGATTTGAGACATTCTACAGTTACTGAGATAGAATATAAAGATGACAACACAAGCTCAGTCAGGACAACTTTCATCAAAGACTGATATTGTTTATCAGGATACAGCCTCTGCTCCTCTCACGAACACACGTGGGCTCACACGCACAAACAGTGGCAAACGCAGAGATAGGTCGAGGACACGATGAAGTGAAGGTAACTCTAAGCTACTGCCGTATGTGCAACAAACCTAACTTTGTTGATACATCCATTAACGAGCATAACATGTAGACGGGGTTAATTGATCCTCTCTGTCCACGTCACTCATCCTCTATGTTATTAAAAGCACACTGAGCTAACGCTAGCTTGGCAAAGCTAGATGTACAACGAGCTAAATGAAAGCTGTCTGTAGCTGAGATTGCCATGTACCTTCAAACTGCACATGGTTGTGGAGTAGAGTGAAACACGCAGGGACAGAGGGAAGGAGGACAGAAGATAGCTGCCTTAAACTGCGTCTGTGTCGCTCTATCCGCACACAGCGACATGACGCCCAGAGCGCGACAGTGTGGCGGCGCATGTTAGCAAGTTTTATTCTATTCGGCCAAATTCATTCCTCAATGTGCTTCTGATAATGAGATATGCCCGATCGGCCAATACTTAGTGGATCGATATTTATTGTGCATCCCTATCAGATACAGCCTGAAAGGTGGAGCTGGGGTGGCGGTGGGTTATGAGCTTTGTGTAGGAAGCAGTGAGGACAGGGAGGTAGGCTACAGCAGCTTAAATAGGCGCCTTGTCTGGAATTTGCCAATAAATGTTAAGAGAGGAATCAGATGAGCTGTGGGCTGATGTGCTGCTGACGTTGGCTGCTATCACCTGATATGCTGGAATGAGTGGAGCTTGACTTCGTTGCCTGCCTGAACTAACGCTATTCTTGATTTTATATTTACAGCCCTACAGAAGCTACTGGGTTGGGGGAAGAAGGGGGGCTTGAAACAGCCGAAGAAGAAGTGAAGTGGTATGCAAATCCTGCCTTTTATTTACCCCGACTTTTATATGAAAACGAGCGAGGGAATGAAATATAGTATTCTGTCACAACATGAGCTCTGAAAAAATAAAATAAAGAGCAACTCCTCGAGGGAATCAGGACCCAGCTGTCTGTCAGCGTGTAAAAGTTTGAGTTTAGCAGATTACAAAAAAAGGAAACACTGAGAAAGGAAGTAGAACTTAAGGAAGTAGGACTTACAGGAAAGTGGGGTAGTGTTATCTGGCCATTGATCTTGACACTGCGATGCATCTCTCGCTGGAGCTGCTTCTTGGTGCCCAGCTTGTATGGAGGGATTCCATCTCTGCAAAAATAAAGACATTACTTGTTTACATTTGGTAAAAAGGAGAGTCAGAGACCACTTAAATGGCCCTTAATTCCAATTGATTTGATCTGTTATAACCAACTATCCAGTGGGTGTGATTTTGACAATTTACTGCTTCTCATCACGAAGGTTACAATACCTCCTCACAACTGTTGGTGCGTTAGCGCCATTAGCCAATCTTTGTGAAGAAAGAGCCCTTAGGAGGCAGTTCATCATTGAAGTGATCGACACAACACCACCCAGTAACCACCCACAAGGCACATTACAGCTAAATCAAAAGGCCGGAGAGCCCTTGAAGCCAAGGCAACAAAAACACACATAACAAAACACACCAGGACAATGGGAGAGATATGCTAAACATCTCACTGTGGGCTTCAAAAGAAGAGCCCCACTGATAAGATTACATCAGTCCATGTCAACTTTTACAGTGGTTGTTTAAAAAGCAGAAGAATTAGCGCTAACCTCAGTAGCTGGTCGGACTTGGAAACTTCAACAGGCTAAAGCAGGCTAGCAAATTCTCCTTAAGTGCTGCTGGCTTTGTAGCTCTGATATATTAATATGAAAATAGAGATTTAGCTAGAAATACCAGTAGTCTCTGGACAATTAAGCATTTATTCTGGGAATCGTATTCTCCATTTTTCATTCTGTGTCTGCTAGCTTTTCCAGTCAGCTGCCACTTAAGCTGGGCCAATTATCTTGGCCGTTTTGGCTGCTCAGAAGTGTCTGACCTAGCCCAAACGCTACTTTTTCTGCTGCCTCTTTGAAATCTCACACTCATGCACATATGCACCCGCTGCCATCTTCGTTTGGCAAGCGCTGTGCTGTGAGCCTCTGATCTCAGCAACATCAAAAGGCTGGTTTGTAAGATAAGGTAATGTTTGAAGTTGGTGCAGCAGCATTCCCCAGCGTCCAAGTAAATCCATAAATAAGATATAAGCAAAAAGAGAAAAAAATCCCCCCACCCTTTCTTCCACCCCTTCCCAAATCCTCTTCTTCTTGTTCTTTATCTGCGAAATGAGATTCAAATTTGCAGTGTGCCTTTTAACCACTGTAAAAGGACACACTAATCAAATTGTCTCCTCGAATGAGAGAGAAGGAAGCTGAGTTTTTTTTATTAAAATCAGTTAGGGGTGGAGAGAGAGGAGCGCTGCGGACATGGACAGGAGAGATCGCTGTGTCAAAGACCTTGGTGAGAACTATTTAAAGAATATGACTTTGACACATGACGCTGTTCAACAATTAATTTTTTTTTCTTTATTCTTCTGAACAAGTTCTGTAAGTCACATTTCAGAGTGACATTGTCAAGAAAAATCTGACAATTGAGCCAAGCTGACAATTTCACCCGTGTTGCAGCAAGCATCTTGTAAGTGGGGTCTACTACCAAAATCAATGCTTCACAAACTGTACCCTTGAGACTACAAGCCATCATCCCTCAAGGCACAGGAAGAAACACAGGAAACTCTTCAAAAGTAAAACTCAACAGCCCAGAGCAACTTGTGCGCTAAAAAGAACCCCGAACTTAGTGGCAAAACATCTTTCCCACATAAAGCTCGCCAACTTCCCTATCACTATGTTTTTATTAATCCAAACTGTTCCCACCCTGGAGAACCATGTGACGGCTGGGCGCTTTGTCCAGGTTGGGGAAGAGAAAACAGTGGTGGACTCTTTCATGGTTTCATGGGCCCTTACTTTATGGGGATCTCCTATTCAGTTGTGCAAGTCATTTTCAAAGCAGCCAGCCACCCTCTTATCCCCCTAAGCTCCCCTCACCTAACAATAGGCTGAAAGCGATTCAGTTAAGCCCTTTATGCTCCATGCACTTTATTTTCTCACTCCCCTGCACTTCGAGCCTATCCACTCCTGCTATTGGCTCTGGAGGGTGGAGGAAAGGAGCTGTGGATGGTTGGGTGGGTGGAGGTGATTTTTTTAGGGGGTGCCCTAGTCTGGCCAGGGGGAGTTCCTCATGCCTCGTCCCAAGGTCTAGAAATGAGTAACCCCTGTGAAAGCCTCACAGACACATGATCTCAGCACGCCGCAGAGGCCAGTGGCAGGAAACCGACCCACCATGTGAGTAAGCCTCCTTTCATTTGGTGCCAACATTTTTCAATGAGTTTGTCTTGAGGCCCGAATGGCCATTTCCCTCCCCCTCTCCTCCAGCTCTTCAAAGGGAAAAAGCGATTAGATAATATGAAAAAAACAAGTCTGTTGTGGCAGAAGGGTGGGTGGGATGGATACATTTCAACTTTGAGGAAAATGAGGCAACGCCCCCACCCACATCAAGACGTCCTCATTCCCCCCCCTTCTCTCCAGCCTGTAACGCATCAGAATAAACTTCAAAAGGTCTTCAGACATAATGACTTTCCCAGAGTTATCTCCCTGGAGGCCACAGTAACAACTACACATTAATAGAATTACCTGGAGTCAATCATAGAGGATAATTAAAATGCATTACGGACCATTATTTCGCAACAGTGCAGTCCCCTGGCCCCAAGAAAAGCTGAGTCTGTTGAACTACAAGGCTAAATATTTTTCTTCACACCCCGAGACTTTTTCCTGGAAAGGTGTTGACTGAACTCTGGACCAGGCACATGTAGATACTAGGGAAACAATAAATCCACAGAGCTGTGGCCAGGGTCAATTAAATGGAAATGAGCGTTTTGAAGTTGCAACATTATCTCAAGAGCAAGCTGCGCTGAAATAAAAATGACAGACCAACTTTTGATTTCAGCAAGAACTGAAGACACTTACACGCTACTGTCCGTCATGGACATAGAATCATCTGTCATGGCATCACTGGAGATCTCACTGTCGTTGGCACTGGTGGCAGGGGCAAAAATGTAGCCGGAGTTGACAAAGTAGGGGCTGGCAGGGTCTCCTCGACGGTGGGACCTGCGAAAGACCCAGGAAAACATTTGCTAAGTTCTAATGGGATGTCTTTCGAGATTGTGGTGTGAAGTGAAGACAGTGGAGAATGCGACACAGTTGGGTAAAGTTTATTTGCTCCGTGTTTCCTGTTGTTTATTTTATCGGATTTTAAAAGCAAACGTGACAGCTTGGAGTTTGTTTTATGACATTCTCTGCAGATTTCTGTGATTAGAGTCACTTTGGGTTCCGAAGAATGTGACAAAACAGTATTAGAGATGAAGGAATGAGTTCTCTTTTTCTTTTACTCTCTTTTTCCTGTCCTTCCTCCCTAGTATACAGGGGTTGTGTTTGATGGGTGATGGCTGGAGTGGGTGACGTGAGCTGTGTGAATGAACAACAGCATTTCCCATCTTTTTCTCTCTTTTACTATCCCTCCACCCTTATGTTTGGGCCAGGCCCATACTCCTCTACTTTTTCACTCAGAAACTGCACTCTCTCTTTCCTTGGAGTGTTTTCCCCTCTTTGCTCTCCCACTTCTATCTCTCCCTCTCTCTATCACCCAGTCTGGGGCCCCTCCTTTACCCACTCTCCCCTGCTTTCTTTCTAAAGTCTTTCTCTGTCTTTCTACTCTCTCCTGCTGTGTTGCATTCCTGTTTCAGTAGTGAAGGGGGTGGACAAGGAAGAGGGAGGGATGAAGAGGAAGGGGGAACTTGAGCTTTAAAGAGGGAGGGAGAGGGAGAGATGGAAAGGGGGAAGGAGGGCCCCTTTCTTTATGAGAATGCCTTCTGCCGGGAGTGCTGAGAGGAGAACCCCAGCATGACTAAAGCCGTAGGCCCCAAGCACAAACCTGACCTTTGGAAGGTCCGCGCAAAGAGTCAGGTATTTAGCACAGCTGGGCTCTCTGCACCCCCTCTCTTTCTCCATCTCTTTTCTTTCTTTCATGATCCCCACTTCCTGTCTTTTCCCCTTCCCCTCCTCTTGTCTTTCCCTGTCTCTCTCCAAAGCATGCTTAGTCTCTGTCAGGCAGATTTTTTTTTCAAATAGGGGAGATAAAAGTGCTGGATAGAAAAGAAAGAGGAAGGAAAACACTGAGACACACACACAATCCATGGCAAAGTGGGATTGGTGGTTGAAGCTGCGGAACTGAGCTGAGGATGTTTTGTTGTTGTGTTTTTCTATCACTTTGGAGTTTGAGTATTGGAGGTTTCTCAAAACAGGGGGGGGGAGGAATCCGTGCAGTGGCAAAATTAGTTCCACATGTTTGAGATGGAAATTGGTTGACCTAAAGAGATGGTGAGGGGCAAGGGGAAGAGGGGAGAGTGCGGGTGACGGAAGAGAGAAAGAGGGGGCTATTTCCCTCCCGCTTTTCTTTTTAGTGAAAAACAAGAATGCAGGGGATCACACCAGGAAACCAGGAGTTGCCCACATGTCAACAAACCGTGTGCCTATTGGTTCATAACTCAACATGGCCACTTTCAAGGAAACGAGTAACTGCACTGTGATGTTATCTGACATGTGCTAACATGAAGGATAAAATCCTCAAGGGAGTGTTTAAGATGAGTTATTAGACTTGATCAATTAATTATTACACTGTTAAATTTTAAGCCGGAGACAATTTCTAGTCTCATTTACATTTAGTTAACTTGACAGGGAAAGCATGGATCATCTATAAATTGCACCTTTCCCTGCCAAACCCAAGTATCAAGATATTGTCAAACCTCGAAGTAACAATTTCATCCAGATGTGAGGACAAAGTAGCTGAGTGAAAAACTTTTTAAATTCCCTTTGATGCAGACTCATGCATAAAATCCAGTTTTTGAAAATGTTCCTGGCTTGAAAAGATTTCAGCTGTTGGACAATGTGTGGGATGAGCTCTTAAGATAAAAGCTCAAATGTTTTCCACTAAGAGTTCTGCTTTCATCTCTGACCAAGAGAACAATATCCCCATTTGGCACATGATTGACTGCACACATTCTTTTAACTCTGTATTAGCATTTGTTTGGGTTAGGGAGATTTTGTCAATACAATAACTATATGGCTTAGTGAGTAGAAAAAAAGAGAAATACAGCATAACTTTACAACAGCACTGTTTCATGCAGCTGTAACAGTCATAAGGCTTGGTGTCTGAATTTGTGCCTGAACCGGAGGAAGGGTTTCAAAGCACAGGAAACTTGAGCAAGCCAGCAGAGGGCTGCCTGCAAGACACCATTTACTTAAAAGGAAGGCTCAGATCCATTGATGTTTTGTACCCACCCCACCCCTCCAACCCCTTGACTAACTGCAAGGCAGGAGGGCACAAATATACAGACATGTTCCTCTGAGACCCTTTGATCAAGTGCCTTTATCTCTCTCTTAGGCATTTGTGAAATAACTGCCAACTGCTACATATTCACTGTGGTTTAACTAATGAAGGAATGATGATCACGGGGAGAACAAGCAATACTAAAAACATCAACACGCACTAAGATGTAATAACACAAACATGCATGCTCTGGGTGAGAGCGCTCTTACCTGCAACTATTCTCCAGCACTTCAGCTGCTGTCCGGATGGTAGCAGTAGCCCTCAGGGTTTTCGCAGACAGTCCAACCACAGACCCTAACGTTTTTGCCTTCATGTCATTACAACTCCACTCCTCTTCCTCCATGAGAGGTGGAAGGTATCCGCACATCAGCTTGAGGCTGCCGAGACCGCCGTGGTTCATGTAGGACGCGTTCTCGCAACCGGTGCGCACGTATTCGAGGTATATGTCAGAGGTCAAAAACATCTGGTATGCATTCTCTTCCATGTTGGACTGAATTTCCGTCTGTGCCTGGTCAAACATGGCAGAGTCTATTTGTTGTTTCTTAATACTATCCCGTATGAAGGTCTTGGTGGCGGGTTTCAGCTGCTTGGCGACAATGCTGTTGTTCTCGATGTACCGCTTAAAAATAACTTTGGCAACTCGCAACGTTTTGGTATCCTTTAAGTCCATTTGCCTGAAGCCGTTGCAGGCGAACCAAAAGTCCAAAGTGTCCACGCAATTCTCACGCTCCAAAAAGGTCCTGAAGAGGTGAGCGCCGTCTTGGTCGCCCAGGAGAAAATGCAGAGACTTTGTCCACCGGACTAGGGGCGAGTCCGGGGACGCGCTGCCCTCTGGCTCCCCGAGACCATCCTCGTTCCTCCGCGGTGTGGAGCCGGGAGGCGCGGCGACGGTATCTTTAACCTTGCTCAGGGCTCTCATTTTGGCAGATCTGCTGGCGTTGTAGCATGACGCCTCTCCCTCCTCCCCCGGTACCGGAGGACGAGGAGCATCTTCTCGGAAGCTACTGCTGATGTGCTCCGTAAGCGCCCTGCTCATGGCTCCAGCTCCGGTTGCCGCGTGAGAGTGCCGTCGTGCCTCCACTGAGCTCCTGCCTAATCCTCCTCACTCTCTAAAAGCAGCGGGGGAGCTTCTCAGCTCCTCTTCACTCTGAAACACAAAGTATTGATCTAATCAAAGCCAGATCCTGCTGAACTTCAAAGAAAGACATCAAGTAAACAGTCCCTTTCAAAAAGCCTCACCGGGTTCACAGAGAAAGTAAATATGAAAGGCTTTGTTTCGTTCCATTTATCTATTTATAATCTAAATGAGAGATCAACTGCAACCTACATTCCCAACGTGCCTTCATCTGTCACATCAAAAACATTTTACAAGAATAATCATCTCACAAAGCCTCACTCTTAACCAAAACCGCATTTTCACAACTGTGGCTTACACGTGTTTTCCTAACGAGTCCATGTCACAGGCTTCAACTCCAATTAATTCCCAATCTGTTTCGGACGAGCATACCCTACCCCTGTCTGCATCACACACACAGACTCGTTCCCACTCGGAGCTCACACTTGTCCTCACCGTCCCAGAAATGTACAGATGAGTGGAAATGCATCTAATCTGCACCACAATGACCTTAAACGTTGTAATGTAGCCTACGAGGGGTAAAAAGCCCCGCGGGAAAAGGCAGTCGCTCATGCGTAAATGTAAGCGATCAATCGCCTTAATGTCTGCCCAAGAAGGCTATTACAGCACATTATTAGAGCCACAGCCCCGGCAACGTGTCTGAACTACCAACACGCCAGAAAGACTTGATATATTTGGAGTAAAACCTCATTCAAAAGCTGAGTGTTTTTATTCGGAGCCTCAGCGCCAAATCTAACTTATTACCTTAAACGATACGCAGATAAAACCACATTTAAACTGTGTGGTTGGCTGTTACAATCGATACACAATTATTCATACGGTCTTAACAGGCTGTGTAAATCCACAGCATAATGTAACCGATTCTAAAATCCAATGTAAGACTGAACAAATGTACTAAAACAACATACCATCGCAGAGTAGATCCGCTCGGATCGTTAAAAGTTGATGAATTACTCCCTTTAGAGTGGAGTCTAATACAGTCCAAAACTCTCCAAACAGTAATCCAGCAGAAAAGGCGACGACGGACTATTTAAAGCCTGTGCCGTGCCACATGTGTTATACCTCGCTGCAAAACAATTGCTGTAGTTTGCTGTACCCTGTCCCATTCAACAACTGACCTCAGAGTAGGCAGGCTCAGTCCCTATGTAGATCACTGGGGGTGTCAAAATCTGGAGGAGGTAAAAGAGGAGGTGGAGGGGGGGCTCTGATTGAAGAATACATCCCACTTTTTTCCCAGCTAGAAGACGTTACCACCCGACAAATATTCGGTTTTTATCTGGGCTACACGCGCGCGCGCGCGCACACACACACACACACACACACACACATAAGCTTCTTATCTATCTCACCGTATTTCTCGCCCACAAACAAGAAACATAGCCCGCATTTCTAAACTTCAAAGCTCAGCAGCAGCACATCAAAGCGGCCAAGAGAGGGGGCCTGTGGAACAGCTTTCCTACAACTTACCATCCATGTACCCGAGTAGCCTGCCTTTTTTTGAAAACGTGAAAGTAAAGTAGTCCAACAACAGTGTCTATATCTGCCCCGGCGACGTTCCCTGTCCTGTAATGTAAATTCTCATTGGATAGTTTTAATGCAGCCGCAAATAAACGAGAAAAGCGTTTTTGCCTCACTTTTCTGCCCAGGTACTGTTTCAAGGAGTCATAGCAGGCGGCAGAAATCCTCCGGGCTGTGTCTAAACCGACTGGGCTGAAGGTTTAACTGCGGACTTCAAAGTAAAGAACCGCTGGCATGGTCCCGGAAGGTACATAAAAACACAGCGTCTCAGCGTTTCTCCAACCAATGACATAAAACAAAATAAAATGAACTAGAATAAAGATAAAACAATAGAAGCAGCTGCAAATGTCCTCATATCTTCAGTTCAATACGTTCGTGTTGGCAAACTAGTGCGTTTAGACGCTCATTAACGTTTAATAAACTTTTCTAGACCTGGAAAGGATTTACATGTTTTCCAGGACCTTATCAAAGAGAGACAATCTAGAGCCAAGTCCCCGAGGCTTTGGAGCGTCAGAAGTAAGTGATCTACCGCGCCAATAGCATTACTGTTACAGTCCGTCTGTTACTACACAAAGTTTCTACAGAAACACAAAGCAAACAAAAGCGACACTTTTGTTGCCTTTGGCCTCAAGTGAGTTTACTCTGTTCACCTAACTGAGGAGAAGCCATTTAGGGTTTACATTTCAATCTTTTTCCAGTTAATGGTGGTGTTGTACAGCCAGATATAGCTTCATTATTTCTATATTGGTTATTGTATAGGAAGTTAGGTGCATTGTCCTCATGTAATTATAGTAATATCCCTTATAATTACAGAGTCACTAGAGTAAGGGGATTGAGGGGAGTTCTGTGGTTCATAAATATGTATATATATATATATATATATATATATATATATATATATATATTCCACAATGATTTAAAACAAGTTATAACCTTGATTTGATAATCCTATAGAGTGTAACTGTCAAATAATTTACATATTAGTCACAGGCTTTTAACCACAAAGATGTCAACCTAACACACTTGCCAGTTCCACATTCAAGGAAAATGGCACAGCATGACATTTTGATTGAAATTGGACAGAGAGCAAAGGCAAGAGCTGTTCTCTAGTCTTTTAATTCACATGACTTCCCTAATGTCATTGTGACAGAATCTTAAAGAGTGGGTTAGACAGTGATCCAATCCCATGGTACTTCAAAGGCTATATTGTCCCTTTGATGTTGGAAATCAACTTTAAAGGAGAATATAATTATATAAGTCAGATGATTCAAATTCACAAAACTCTCATGATGGTACAGGACAAGGAAACTAATGAAATCCAACTTCTCTGAGGTCCCCAAGTGGTGATTAATTCATGTTGAGTTATACATAGATAAATAAGCATGCTGTGTAGCAGTTCCCATGTGGATGTCAGTATCTTTGTCCATTTGTCCAAATCTTTACATTCGGCCACATGGTTTAGGCTGACATGTAATGTCATCCAGTCTGGATCCAGCATGGATTGGCACTGTTGATTGCTGAGTAAGAATATTCAGGGACCATAGAACCATATTATTTTCAATTTAGATGCACAATATTTTCTCACTGCATCCTGCAGCCACACTGGATACATATTTCCAACTTGTACATTTTACTTCTGACATATGCTTTGGAGTAATTTTAACATAACCCAGCTTTCTTACAAATGTGCGCAATAGCAAGCGTTTCTTGATTTCTTGGTAAAGCAGAGTAGTCCAGTTGATTACATTGACATCCTGCCAGCCACTTCCTGCGTGCTGTGAGCTTGTCTGATGATTGAGTCCAGCTTATTTCAAATGTAATCTTTTAAGACATTTTTACTGCAAGGTGTTATCACAAAGCTGCGTGATAGCAGACAGTACAGTCTCTTTCTCTGCCTGTCTGTCTCTGTTTGTGTGCATGTGTGTGTGACAGTGTGAATATGAAGAGGTCATTCATAGCCACTGTTTATACTGGAGGGCTCTGTAAAACAAACATTGCTGCCACAAATCCAAACAGTCCAGCACCCAAAATGCACAAAAAGCTTCCAACACTCCGCGATGGGAAGTGCCCGCTGTCTGCGAGATGGAACACGAAATAACAAAATGTGTCAGCAGGGTTGGCACCGTGACGATCAAGGGGCAGTTCAGCGAGGCCCAAATTAAAGCCATGAAATGTGTAGCTATAGTGTTATCGACGCGCAAAGTTCTTTAAAGCCTGCTTTGAAATAAGAGTGGAGATATAGAGGGGTTATAAAATGTAATTTTTGAAGTGCAGGACAATCTTGAAAGTGGGATACTTCACATTGGGGATAAGATGAAATCTTCACTCAAATTAAATTAGGCTGCACATGTCACTGCAAAAGAAAAAAAGTCCACAGACAGTTTAATTTTTGCTGACAGACAAGAAGCTTCATCCATGCTTTGCTCAGTCTGCTTTAAATGACATGTAAAGTTCAGGCTATTCCGCCATTCAGGATGTGTTTTTTTCATGCATTTCGACAAACAGAACTGCCACGATCGCCATAGATGCAGCCAAAAATACAAGCTGCTGTCTTTTTGAATTAATTTGAGAAGTGTCACGAGACGCTAAACCAATGAGACCACACCTGTTGACCCTTGAATGCCCATTCTTGTGTTTAGCAGTGACAAAAGAGAGAGGGTGCTGTAAAGTAGCCACAAGAAGCCTCTTTTTGATGTTGACCCTGCCCTGACCCCTTTGTTGAGGCCCTAACCATTTCACAGGAAGATCCAAACGCTTTAAAAGCACAATACAGGACGAGAGTGCTGCCACTGACATGCTATGAAGCCCCAATAAAACAGGGTGACCTGGAGGCTAATTGAGAGCTCGTGGTTGAGAAGAAATTAAAGGCATCTGGTATAGCACCACAGGTTGCAAATGAAGCTACTCTTTAATTAGAGCCTGCATTAAAGGCAAGGAGAAAGTATGCATTTCACTGCTGTCAGTACAGGTGTCGCATCAGGATTTATGGGAACAGACAGAGGACTTTAATTATAGTAGTGTGTAGGAACGGTTTGTTTTCTTTCTTTCTTTCTGTTAGTACTGTACTGCAGAAGTCTTTGATGGTGTATCATTAGTTGCATCAGTCAAACAGGAGGCCTGTGTTCTCCCCTTTTTGTCGCTTTTTCCGAAGAACTTCTGGATTTGCATCATATTGCAGCCCACAGTATATGTTCCCACAATGTGAACAATAAATTCTGTACAGCACATTTTATCACCCTTCCCTCCGCTCAAATTGTATACTTGTGCTAAAATAGCAGAGAAAAACAGAGGAGAGGGTGGCTAATTGCAAATAACCCAATATTTGGGAGTTCAAAGGCTGTGGTGGGTTTGAGTGATAATTTTGGCTGAAGCATCACCATAAACACTAATAAAATTAAGTGCGTCGGAGGGAGGAGGGGGCGTGGCCAGGCGTCCCTTTGAACAGATCCTGTGATCAGTTCCCCCTCTCAATTAGCGTATTGTCCACTTGTCCTTTCAGCTGGGAGGGAGGGGGCAGTCTCCCCCCTAGCTTCCCTTTGAAGTGATTATCCCTTTATCTCAAGCCTGAGCGAGGAATATCTTGGGGGACAATGGCAAATTAAAGCCCATATGGAGAGAAGCGTGAATGTCTGTTTGTAGGCTCAGAGAGAAATGGGGGGGGGGTTAGAGAAATAAATAGAGTAGGAGAGAGAGAGAGGAACAGAGTGGCAAATAGCATCATTCTGTTTGCATGAGCTGAAGGATGAGTGGTAGATGTCAACACTCATCCAAAAAAGTAATTTAGGGCTCGTGCCTGAGTTGACACTTGTAGCGGAGTGACTAGAAGAGCTAAAGGAAAGAATAAGAAGGGGGGGTATCTGTTATGACAGATGGAGAAAGACGGAAAGGGAGGAACGGAGAGATAGAAGGATGAGCAAGAAGAAGGGAGAGGAGTGCAGTTGTCAGCAGAATCAGATGGCGGTCAGGCAGACAGGCTTGAAGAAGATACAATTAAAGTGTGGAGTTAAGACGGGCTTTGAAGTTGGACATGGTGCATAACACCCTTAAAGTTTGAGAAGCCAGCCATTCATCCGCTTGTTATGGCTTGTTAAGACCATTCATTTTAAAAGGCCCAATTTGAGAAAATAAACTTTAATTTCAACTTTGGGAAAAGTCTAAATAAATCAAGAGTGACAACAATCAGGTAATGGTTTTCAACAAGGTTAAAAATAAATAAATCAACAGAACAACCTGAATGGTCATCTTTTCAAACATGGGTGATGGATTTGCTAAACAAGGTGTGGGGGTGCAAGTGAGCACTGAGGATGAATAATTACTTTCTCTTCCCACTCACCCTCTTTTTTCTCACAATCCTGTTTTTCGGTGGCTTAAAAGTTTAATAATGTATAGAAACAATGCCTCTGATGCTTGGCCTAATCCGTTTTGGCTTGGCAAACCTTTGTGGTAACCAAAACCCTATCTGATGTGAGCAAATGTTTGCCAAGCTAGCATGTGCAGACAGAGTGTGTGTCTGTTTGTATTTCCTCAGTGCAAGATAGTACGCAGAGCTGAAAAATAAACAACCATCTGCACATTACAGTACCTCACTGCATGACTGCAAAGAAACAACAGAAAGCTTGATAAGACAAATTATATTCTAATAGTGTAATGACAACAGTTAGCACACTATAAATACTCTTATGTACACTGTCCTCCTGTGTCAATTGTTCCTGCAGTAATTACACTAAAACAATTTTATGTGTATTAATTATGTTTTTCAATTTATCATGCTCGACATATCAAGTGATTCTCCTTCTGATAGTGAAAGTGGAAGAAATGTGTGTTCACTTTGAGCTCAGCTAGGCATCCTTAATGAGCATCAGACAAATGATGTAGAAAAATGCTTGATATGAAGCAACAGTCAGGCCTATTAGAGGCTGAACAAAACTTGTTACAGACCAACGCTGGTTTAAGCTAACATCGGCTAACTGGCCAACGCTCAGCCTGACAGCAAATCCATGCGCTGATAAGGCAAATTAAATGGCCCTATTGATCGAATGATCTAGTGTTCAACAGTTTGACTTCTGGACAAGACAGCAAGAGACAACATTGACATAAAACCAACAGACGGATGTGACTATGGTCCATTGTTAGGATCTTTAGACAGCCATTGTGATATCAACATATCCACATTCTGTCATTTCAGTCACAGAAAAGT